GCAGATGTCATTTCCCCCTGGCTGACATGTGGTCTCTGCGTCCAGCTCCCAGTGCATCAACGTGTATTCTTACTGATACCCAGATACAGAAACCAGGTGGAAATGGAGTCACAAGCTGCTTGGCCAACTGTCTGCTGAGGAGACGAGTTCTAACTGATCAGGCTCATGTTGGGGATTTCAAACGCTCAGCCAGCCTTCCTTGTTTTTCCTTGTCCTTCCTTGTTCAGGAACACAACCTGCGCTCAACAGCGTTCAACATACGAGATCACCTGAAACACACACCACCATGTAGAACACAGCCATCACACTTCCTCATCTCTTTCATTTGGTTGTGCATTTTATTTGTCCATTACCACCTGACTGTCCGACACAAGAGCCGGTGAACCCCGACAACAACCTCATAGTTTTAATGTTTTGAAGAAACATGCAAACAAAACAGACGGGAAACTGTAACTGACCTGAGACCTGTGTCTGCCTTCAGCTGGAGGGATTTCTCTTCCTACACTGAACTCAGATCAGAGGAACTACTGGCAGCCGTCTCTTATTACAGATCACAGCTGGCGTGAAGGATTCTGCGTCCTGCTGATTTCTAGAACCGTGACTTTATGGTCACTTGAAACAGCACAGCATGAATACACCCAGCATGTTTACATCAATGTGTGGCTCCTGTCAAATCATCCTGCTTCTCTAACGTCACCTTCAACTTGAAATTCAACAATCATGGTCCAAGCCAGTGTCCCTGACCTGCGCTGAGGTTACTCCATGACAGATGCTGCTGAGCTCTACAACATTTGAATCAATCACCAGCGATGAGTTTTGTCTTTTGGCTCGTCTCTTCAGGCTCTTGGCCAAGCAGGTCATAACGTTAAAATCTAAGTATTGCCTTCGCTTCCTCTCCCTGTGAACCCAACTGGCTGCTGAGGTCGCTGCTGATGTGCAGACTGAGCAGGCTGGAGAAGTCGTGCAGCAGTGAGCCCTAAACATCGTGAGGATGTGTCAGCTTCTCTAATTTACTGTACATACCTACTGATGAGTGACTGCGCTGACAGGGTAGTGGGGAGGCAGGACCCACTGTAGCTGCTCCCACAACAGTTTAAATGTATGTACATGGTGCAAAGCTTTGGCTGGACCAGATGTGACCGACTGGATTAGAGGCACACTCAGACCTCAGAGGAGATGTTTTGTTCTTCATGACTCGAGTTGTGTTTAGTTTCAGAAACAAGTCAGAAAGTAAAGTGCAGCAAAGCGGGTGGTTTAGAGCTGGTGGGGTTAATGCTGGTCTGGTTTAAGATGAATTGAGGATCAAAGCATTGAAAACAGGAGCAGGAGAGACGGGCTCGTGGAGGTGGTTTGGATTTAAATGTAAAGTTTCCACTTCTGAGGCTCAAACTAAGTGGAAATAAACTGTGTGGCCTCTGGGTTTTCACAGGAGACAAACAGGTAGCTCCGCTCTCCGCCTGCTTTGCTGCATTTCATCTTCCTGGTAGCGTCGTTGTTGTGAACAGAGGAAATGCAGAGTACTGATTGTGATCGCGTCCTCATTTTCAGCATTTTGTGTTTCGACTGTGTTGTGTGTAATGTTCAGTAGACACACAGGTCTGGAAACTTCATCTCGTAGACGGGGACGGACTGGTGCTGTGTGTGCCCCGCTGACAGGGAGACCACTCCGGACGGACTGGGTGGAGGCCTGGTTGGGGATGACAGGGGCATGGGGTCAGGATGTTAAACTGGGGTTTCAGTGTTGGACAATCAACACAAGCACATATGAAGCTACACCAACCCTTTAACCAGGTGGAACACATGGTTTTTAATGTTATAATGAGACAGACTTACCGAATTGTAAGCTCAAAGATTTGCGCCAGCCGGTCATGCAGCATGTTGGCCTGAGAAAAACAGTCAGAGTGAGCGACAGGTTTCCAACATCGATGGACCTTTTTCCTTCAAGTTGTTAACATTTGGTTTTTACCTTGGACTCGCAGTGGGCAGCAATCTCCTCGAACGGAGCTTTCTGGAACTTCTCCATCACCTGACGCCTCTTCTCCCGCTCCTGCTCCTCCAGACCAGTGGTATCTGAACACAGACAGAAGCCAATTATCTGTCAGGTAGACAAAAGACTGGTTTCCTCACTAGTGTCCACTAACCCTCAATCTCAGTGGCTTTAAACAGCCGGAATTGATTACTAATGTTGCTTGCCTACATTACCACCTGGTGTGTCAAAGTAAAGTTGTTTCCTTAGAAGCAGATCAGTAAAACTATATGTGGCCCTGAGTGACATGTGATAACAAACCAGGCTCTACAGCAGGACCCTGACATGTCAGCCATATACAGAATGTGATTTTAATATCAGCTTGTCCTGTCAGTTGGTAAAACTTAGAATTCACTTGTCAGAGGAGCCTCAGATATGATGGACTCATCTGTATTCAGGGAGTCCACAGGAAGGAGAGGCTTACAGTCAAAGTGACGAGTGTCAGAAACTGTTCCTGCATCTTACCGATGGCCTTCTTCAGGGTCTCAAATGTGATCTCCTCGGCCAGCTGAGACTGCAGGAAGACACAGACAACAGGGTCAAAGGCTTTGTTTCAGCCTGCAGTGAACGCCACTACTGATCGACCCCGTGGCCGACTCCTACTGCTGACAGATACGAGCACTTCGATTTCACCATTACCATTTTAAAGCTTTGCGTGCAGGCTCCCTCTGAGGAAAAATGAGACTGACCTTGTCTGGAAGGCTGTTGGACATGATGTCCACTTGGAGGGAGATGGTGTCCACGAAACTCTTCCTCCTGGTCAGACGGTCTTCATCTGCAGACGACACAGTTCAACCAGGTCAGGCAGTTTACAGCTGTCTAAACAACTAATGACAACTTGTATTTGTTGGCAGCATCAGCACTGAAACTAAGCGTCTTGGATACAAACCAAGTTTAACTCGATTAAAATGAGACACTCTTCATCGTGTGCAAGTGTTCCTGACAATCAACCTCTAGTGGCGGTGCGAGTGCTGACCCTCCCCTCTCGGGAGCAGAGTGCTATCATGTGACACTGCGGGGACGTGCAAAACCTCCCAGGGACAGGCCAAAGGGTCCGACCTGGTCACTGACGCCGCTCTATGCATCTCCTCTCCTACCAAATCCTGTGTTGGCCTCTGAACTATGAAGACAACCTTTCTCCATCTTTAACCACATTGCTTTATTTGCCGAAATCTAACAAGGCCTTGGGTGTTTTTGGAAGGCACTGCTGTTGCACCCATTCCATCCTTCATTTTGCTCTTAGTGACCATTTAATAACAGCAGTGACTCCCCTGCTTCCATACATTGATCAGCTGACTACAGGCACTAATGAGGAAACTGATCTAAATGGACCCAGACAGACAGCATTTCTGTTTCTGACATTTAGCCAACGTTCTTTTCTTATATGACAGAACAATACCAGAATGATCTTTAATTGTATGAACAATGATATAAAAGCAGAAAGAATCAGAGACTGAATTCAGGAGAGACCCACTTAAAGCTCCTCTACCTACAGTAACATGTCTTTAGCCTAGAGGGTTAAGTCAGACTCAAAACAAACTGGCACCATGAGCCGCTCCTAAACGCTCTCTGCCCCTCCCATCACGCCCTGTTTCCTGAAGCCACGATGCCCGGTTGGGACAAACTGTCCAAACTGTAGTCCCTAGTCTGAAGCTAGCGTTAGCTGGCTAACAGTAAATGTGTCCACCCAGCAGACGCTCTGGTTAGTGCCAATGTGACACAAAGCTCCAGTTCCTCCCAAATTAAACTCGTATTAATTCAACACAAAGGTAAAATCCTGACCATGCTAGGTGGATAAACTCGGGAGGATACTGAGGAAATACTGTAGGTGGTGCTGACAGCTCGGCGGTGTAGGAGCTACAGGGTGTGGTTTCCTGCCTCTGTTCAGAGCAGCGATATGAAAGCAGAGCAGGGTGGTTATATAAACATGTAAGGTGTGACCCATCTAATCCTCAGTCTGTTCCCTCAAAGGTCACCGCTGTCAGGACGCTTTACACTTAACAGTGTTGCAAATTAGCACATCAAGGGTCACCAAGGTCAAACTCCAGCAAACAAAGACATCTACTCTGCTGCTCTTGTACTCTGACCTAGAAAAAGTTACCGATGCTCTCATACATGTTGCGTTGTTGTTAGTATTGTATGGCTTTGTACTGGTTGAAGACTAACTCCTCATCACAGCCTCTTTGCACTGGTTACCTGCCAAGTATGGAACAGATTAAGATTTTACATGGTTTTGCACCTGATTACATTACAGACCAGTGATTCCTTACAAACCTACAGTTGAAGGAGCTTTCATAGACCTTAAACTCAGTTTTTCACAACTCCTGACATTTAGTACTACAAACGTTCCCTGTCGTAGGTCAGTTAGTGTCACTACGTTATTTAAATGTCACAATAATAGTAGGGAAAAAGATTTATTTCAGCTTTCATTTCTGCCATCACATTCCCAGTTGGGTCAGAAGTTGACATACACTCAGTATGCGGTAGTGTTGCCTTTAAACTGGTTAACTTGGGTCAGACGTGTGGGGACGCCTCCCTCAGGCTTCCTACAAGATGCTGCTGGAGTCACCTGAGTGTATGGAAACTTCTGACCCACTGGAATTGTGATATACTGAATTATAAGTGAAATAATCCATCTGTAAGCAACTGTTAGAAATGACTTGTCATGCAGAAAGTACACACGTCCTACCCGACTTGGAAAAATGAGAGTTTGCTAAAAAAAAAAAAAAAAAAAAATCAGTCTTAATGACTTCAGCCTCAGTGTATGTGAACTTCTGACTTGAACTGCACGTGCTCCTCACGCTCCTTTGAATTAAACTAACTATCCCGAGGTCCCATCAGGTCACAGAGGGAGATCGGGCATTTTCAGGCCGAGCCCCACAATGATGGAGCTCTGTGTGTGATTGCATGCATGTTTCTATATGTATGGGCTGTGTGTATGCAAACATTTGCTTGTGTTTTCTATGCAACCTTCTATGTTTTTATCATTTGATGTGTCCTTTGCTGTTGTGAAGCACTTTGGAACCATGCTTTTAAAGTGCCACAGAAATAAATGTTGTTATCGACTGACTGTGGCACAACACATTCTAACCTTTCAGTTAGAAATGCTGCGACCAACACCTACTCTTCACCTCTGTGCAGCATTTCACGTCTTTCACCCTGACCGGCTGTTTCAGTCCTTCAGGCTCTTACAAACTGTGCTCAGACCGGCCGAGGGGGAACTACAGGCAGCAGACGTCGTTTGTTCTGTGTTGGATTAGTAACATGCACTGAAAGTCCACACAATGAAAACGTAACTTTCTACATTAACAGCAGAAGCCACGACAGCTACACAAATTACTCCAATATTCACAGTACACAGGTCATTACATGTGCTTACATAACATATCCCAATACAACACATGCAAAACCATTAAACCATTAATCACATGATGCCTACAGCTACACAAAACACTTTCCATCGGTAATGACAAGAATGTATCTAAAGCTAATGGGTCACTGAGGTTTTGGGAAAGGTTTCTGGACACGGGGTGTAGCTCATTGGCAAAGCAGCTAGGGCTCTACTGCCTCTTAGGCTAACTGGGTAAACATGTACTGGACCGTTCCACACACTGCTCTAACTGCCACCATTATAAAAAGTTATATCAACGCTACACATCATCCTCTACTGCTGCATAAAACGGAGCACAGGAAGCAGGGCCTCAGCTGATACTGGGGACGTCCTGTTCTAGCCTGTTACCTCCGGACGTCTGCTTGCACCTGTGGATGATTCTTCCTACTGTGTAAAGCACCGATGTTAATGGAAGCAGGACAGAGGGCAGAAAGCAGAAGGTTTGTCAGAGCAAGCAGACCGTTGTCTCACCCTGTTCCTGTAGTGAAAATGAGAGTGGTTTAACCAAGCTCACGTCTTCATGTCAAAGTATCAGTCACTTTATTTGAACATGAGGAACAAAAGACTGGTGCTCGTTCTAACCTGATCTGTCTCCTTGATCTGAGAGTAACTGACCACCTAGAGTGAAACACCACCAGTAATACAACAGGTGTTTCAAGTTCATCTCCTGTTCACTGAACAGCTCCTCAAGCTGTTAATCCTTCGAAGCTTTACTAGGCTACTAGGCTCAACCTTCAGAGTGCCGACAGTTCTGGGGCTCCGAGTCTGACATGAAGGAAATGTAGCAGTGTATCGGCAACCTTCTCCACGTCACGTCCTTCTTCACTCTCCCGTAGGTTTCATTGAATTTACAAAGAACATGTATCGCATATACTGTGAACCTTAATGTACAGTGTTTTACTGCAGCTACTGAAATACTGAAACTTAAAACACCGTGCTTTTCTTGCACCACAGTTCTGTCAAAATATTTGATGTTTTTGTAAATCAGTAATTGGCTGCATAGCATGAGCTTTTAAGGGGCTAAACAATGAGGCAAAACTAGTTTCACTTGTTTCAAATGGCTGGAAATGATTAAATATAAAACAGATGGTCTGCTTCATTTGATGTCGCAAGAAAACTGAATGTAGGGAAGTCAACATTTTGAGATATTGAAGTCCCGTCCCCCCCCGGGCCTGCTGGCAACATGCAGACTATGTAATAGCCCACGGTTTGCAGCAGACACCCACAGTTTGGTTAGAGCTGAATCTTCAGTATCAATAAAAGCTAAAAAGAGCTTGTAGTGCTGTGTGCAGTTTGCAGAGTTAAACCTAGTCGTACCTGTGACCTGCGGGATGTAGGGGATGGAGAGCCTCTCCGCGTTGTATCCCGGCCCTGCCAGACACTCCGCCATGTCGGATGTCTGGAAGTACAGCTGCCTGTCCTCCTTGTCCAGAGAGTCAGGGAGTCTGGGAAGAAATGGGACGAGGATGAGAGAGAAACCATGATCCCCACTTCCATCACAGATATCTCCTAAAACTATGCGTCTGGATGCTTTGTAATGAGTTGTACTCTCGTCCAAACTCAGTATTTAAAACCCTGAACCTTCCACTGCAGAGAGCCCCAACAGTATGTGTGTGTGGGGGTGGGGGGGCATGAACATTTGCCGGTGTCAAATGTTCATGCCACATCAAAAATACCATGACAATCATCAAACCTTCCTGAAATACTACCACTAGTGCTGAAACACAGTAAAGTTACTTCACAGCACGCTGACCTGGGATTTAATCGAGTGTGAGAGCGAACTGTAGACCAACACCAAACAGCTTGGTGGTCTGCAGCTGGAGACGGCCGACGGGGGCCGACCTTCACTGCAGCTCACCCCCTGTGATTTTTAAACAGGCCACGGGCCTGGGTGTCTGCTGCTGGAGCGCTATGCTGCTCTCACAGTGGTAACCAGTGTTGTGGACGGTCTGGGGTCACAACCACACAAATATGACTGCATACAGTGACATGAAAGCCACAGGTAAAGAACTTAAGGGGTGCTATTATAAAAATTGCCACCACACCAGTAAAACCAGAACACCGGCATGTCTGTAGTTCACCCTGAACACAGAGCTGTCACATAACTAAACCACAATGCCAGAACACATCTGTCCTCTTCCACCCACAGACGTGCAACAGAAGATGGAAAGTGAGCCAAGCCAGTCCAGAAGGTGCTTTCGCAGGAGACTGGGCAGACTGTGGTCGTACTAACAAACAGTAGGGTTTGTAAGTGAACAGGTTTCACAGAGTACAGTGAAAATGTCTTAATCAATAATGGACAAAACACCAGCAAGAGATTTGAGGGTTTAACAGGCTGGTCTGAACCTCCGAGGTTTTATCTTGCCCTCGGCTTTACGCTGTTTTCACAACAACAGGGTTTCTCCAATTTACGAACTAAATCTCCAGAAGTCTGCACGTTTAGCAGTGGATCTCTCTGGTACATCAGAGAAGTTATTTTCAAAGGCAGGCTTGAGAGCTGCACCAGTGGAGTGACAGCGGTCTGATCTGAACCAGGAGCTCTTACAAACATCCAGAGTGCGGGCGCTTTGTCACGGCTGGGAAGACAGCAAGCCGATCAAGCCACATCTTTTCATTACAACTGCTGATACCATATGTGAGTCAGGTCTGATCCTGTTTTCAACACCTTACACTGATGGTTATAAGCACCTTTATTCACTGACCAAGAGAAGCCAAAGTTCTCAAAACAACAGAAAAGCATTGCTGGAAGAAAATACAATCTAAACTGGGGAGGAGGAACAATTTTAACTATTTTAAACAGTTTAAATAAATTAAAGAAAAAAAAATGCATCTTAAAGAAAGTAAACAAGACAGAGAATATGAAGAGATTAGATTTAATGTGCCAAGGTTCCCCAACTCTGCTGATCACATTATTGAAATGTTAAAGTCGAGCTTCCAGCGTGCTCGGACACTTACGGACACTTGTCTCTGAAGATGTGCTCTGGGAGCAGATACGGAGCATCCATGTTCCTCAGCTCAATAACCTGGGGAACAGCAAACGGTCTTAGTACAGCAGGTCCATAAGGAAGACAAGCCAGGTTCAACAGCCAAAGCCATCAGAAGCATATTAGTAAACTTAAAGTATTCAGTCTGCAAAGCCAGAGCAATGTCTGCCAAGAGCCAAACAGTGTGAAGTTTCCTTAAACTGGCAACAGCAGGAACCTTGCTGAGCTGTGGCGAAGGCCACTTCTGTGACATCGGAGTGAATTGGGACGCACCTTGCTGACATGCTGACAGAAGTTGTGACGCACCTTGCTGACATGCTGACAGAATGGAAGGTTGGCGATCATCTGGCTCAGGAAGTTGAGGTACGCCGCCACCAGCGCCATGATGCCACAGCGATTAAACATGGGCATGTTCTCCTCATTAGTCAGGGCCATCTCCTGGAACACACAGTCAGGAACCATCACAGTCTGCACATTCTGTGTGTTACTGAAGATCTGAACTGTTAGCAGCGAGTCTGAGTACACGGCTGGCTGCTTTCAGAAACAACAGAAATCCCCATTGTTGACACGTTTCTGAGCAGCCGGTCCAGCATTCTTTGTTCTTAGCCCCTTTGTTAGCATCAACTCTTCAATTCAGGCATTAGACACCCAGCTCACTGGAGGCACTGATACACATGCAGAACAGCGGCAGCGCTGCTGGATTCCAGCTCTTAGGTCTTATTTGAAATCTGCAGCCTTGTCAGAATAAATAACCGCCTTTAATCTACAGCTATATGCAACAGTCTGGCCAAACAGTCTGAAACATTCTGCAGTGACAAGAAGTAAATACACAGGCTGCAGCAAACTCACACTGTTAATGCAGCGTTACAAACTTCACACACAGAAAAAAACATTCTTGGTTTAGGAATGTTGAATTTAATTGAGTTGAGGATTTTTCACTGACGACTCCTGCAGATCCCTGTAGGCCTCCCTGCCATGGGAAAAAGATGACCCCTGGATCAGTAGCATATGAATCTGTCAGAGAACATCTGTTTCTGGACCTTATGTCTCAGTGAGAAAGATTCCAGCATTAAAGATGTTCTGAATGAAGATGACGCTGTTCCCAGTAAAGATGCACATGCTACTACAAATGTGTCTGTCTCCTGTTTACAACGCTGTGACATTTGGAAATGATGAGATCTCAGCATGATACAGCAACAAGCAGCTGGTGTGCGTGTGTGTGAGTGTGTGCGGGCGCAGATCTCCTTCACACGTCTCTTTTGTCTGACACATAGCAGGCTTTACTGGACTAGTGTGTCGTCTCCAGTCTAATGACATTAAGGGTGACGACAGCACAGCTACTCATCGACGTCAGAAATCTGACACCTGAAGGGCCCTTCAGATTAAAGCACTGTAAAGAATCGAATGTTGAGTTTGAGGAGTTCATTGTCTTACAACATTAAAGCAAAAGAGGAAAATAACCTCATGATGTAATGACTTTTAAACACTCAAACCTCCTCTTCCTTAGTTCTCCTCTCCGTGCCACTTTCCTAACTCCCTTTGTTTTAGAAGAGAAGAGCTGCCACATGTCGGGATTTGTCACCTGATCACAAGTAAGCCTCCAAACATCAAAGATTTTTGGGTTCACAGAAGGTTTGTGTACTTGTGTGTTTAAGATTAACAAACAGATCAGTTGTACCTGAATAGCGATGGCGAGCCGGATGAGGTCGATGACCACTTCCTCGTTGGCCAGCTCAATAGTCAGAATGGCCAGGGTGGTGAAGAGCAGCTCAAAGTTCTTGTGGACGTTATCCTCTTCTTTACAGCCCAGGTAGATGTGGCGGTAGAGCTGCTGGCCGTGCTGGAGGCGACAGAGAGAGGACGATACAAGAACTGCGATTAAACAGACATCTGTCCTGCTTACATCAGTAGTGAACGCCCAGAGTTTGCGAGCTGTGGGGAGAGTTAGTGTGCGAACTACATCCCCAGTCTGGGTGAGTTACACCCATGTCCTCTCTGTGTTTGACTGACATCTGAAAAAGCCACCTTGGATTTCCCCAATATCTTATAGACCAAATGCTGAACTGGTTACCAGAGAAAATAATCAGTAGAGAATACAAATAATCCTGTCCCAACTCCCCTGTCCATAATATGAAGGAAAATGTTAACCTGAAAGATGGCGTTAATGAAAACGCTGCAGCGCTGCCAAACTGAAAAGACGAATCAGCCTAAAAATAACCAATACGGCCTTTATAAAATAACCAACCTTCACACTGTCGGAGCCTCGGCTGTTTGATGTGGTGTCTAATGGACAGTGAAGGCCAACGACTTCTATCCAGCACTAATGAATACACCTAGATGCTGTTAATAACCTGTGACAGCAGACGAGGCAGAGAGGTAACATCCAGCGACGGCTGTTCTTTCAGGCGTGAAGGTGACAGCTCAGGTGTGATTCAACATTAACTGTGCTGATGGTGGCCGGGCTTTTCCTGTCAGCTTTTCCTCGTTGCAGCCGTGTCTCACTAACGCAGCCACTTCTGCAAGTGTTCTTATTTTTAATCATGACATTAACATCAGATTTTATCGTCCTCTGCTCTTCTTTTTCATTGGTTTCTACCTTTCTGGAAATACGGGTGTAGGACTGAGCTGTGCCATTGTTCTAGCATGTGAAGCCAACGCCCGCTGTCGGCGAGCCAGCAGCAGCATGCTCATAACACAATGAAGGGGAGAGTCTGTGTTTCCAGTCAGCTGTTCACCCATAATGTTGGCTTTAGCTAACAGGCTGACTGGAGACAGGAACTGTGCATTAAGCCATGTCTCTGAACTGACAGTGGAGAAGTTGATCACACTGGATAAAGAACGTCTGACATCTTTTATATCAGCCATGAAGTCGAGCTGCTGACACCTACAATATAATATGAAGCCATCTTCTATTTCTACAAGCTGCGAGTTGTTGAATACTCAGAAGATATCGGTGTTATCTAGTTACCTGCCTCGGTTGCAGACTACAGAACAAAAGAAGGAGCTTCTGTGGATTTTTCCACACTGGAATCCACTGCAGCTACTGTGAATCCAAGCTGCCATCAACTGTAAAGAAACAAGTTACGAACCAACAGCTGCTCTCCACTGTGAATACGACCTGGATTCAGCTCCACTACCAGGGAAGTTGCCCTCTGACACAGACTGAGCAACAGCCAGGCGAGGGCCAGTCACAATCATCTCGACACCAAAGCACAGAGTCATTCACCGCTCCAAGAAGACAAACCTATCGTGGTCTTCGGCTTCTCAATTCTCTACAACGCGTCTTGAACAAGTTACCTTGACCACCTGTCCAGTCAGAGCTGAGGGCGGCAGTTGCACGCTCAACACAACACACCTCCAGATCTTCAGGTTCTCTAAAGGCCAGACACAGCAGCCACTTTGATTGTGTATGTGTGGCTGTGCCATTACAGTGGCGGGTTCCTTTAAGAACCTCAGCTGACGATATAAGAACAGTGACCTCTGTAGGAAGCATCAGGATCAGAGGGACTTAGATTCCCTACCTTCTTCATGAAGGCGACATCCTGCTTGGAAATCTTCTCTCTTTTTATCTTCAGGGCTGCAACGTTAGGAATGATTCTGCAGTGGAGACAAAAGAATCACAACGATGCCAGGCACTACCAGGAAGCCAAAGACAGACACCAGCATCAGACACACTGACAGTGTCACCATAGCTTCTCCTCAACAATCAAATGTGGACACTTCACACTGTATGTACAACACAGACACACACGTGTATGTTCACTGACGTGTGTACTTCTTTACCTGATTCCACGTAGTTTGGCGCGGTTGTCATGGCGATCAATGATGTTGTGCAGGATTTCGAGCACCAGTTGCCTCAGCTCACTGTCCTCCATCAGGGAGACGGAGAAGAGCGGGTCCAGGAAGGGAGGAGGCAACGCAGCTGCCATGGACTTGGACTTGAAGCCTGAGGTTACCTGAGGCAGCAGAGAGAGGGCAGAGGGAGGGGGGGAGTCGCTGAGAAACACTGTATCAGCAGAGCACGAAGGGCACGTTCACAAAAGATCGACCTGTTCTCCGCTACGGGACTCTGACCTGATCATTTACAATCAGTGCGAACAGCTGGGGGCGGGGGGGATAAATGCACATGCTGCAACAACGGCAGGACGGCCCCGTCCTGCTGGTGGACTGCAGGATGAGGCTGTTTATTCTAAACCTCCAAAAGAAAACGGACAATAACACAGCTTTGCTCTTTTTGCTTTAGCCTTAAAGTTTTGCTCTTGTGTGTTAAAATGCTGATCAGAGCAACAAACAGGGCAAAGCAAGTAGCATTTGTACAGACGTCATTATAAATAACAATACAATTGAAAGGAATATGTGTTCTATGTTTCTAAAGCCAATAGTTGAAAAGGAAATTATAGAGATAGTGAACAAATGTGGTAATAAATCATCCAGTGATAGTGATGGTATCACTATGACAATGGTTAAATGGGCAATTGAGGGGATATGCAAACCATTAATCCATGTTTTTAACATGTCGTTTCGATTTGGTCAGTTCCCCAATAATATGAAAATAGCAAAGGTTATTCCACTGTATAAATCTGGTGATAAGCACAACTTCACAAATTATAGACCGGTTTCTCTGTTGTCACAGTTTTCAAAAATCTTGGAAAAACTCTTTAATAACAGATTAGACACATTTATTGATAGACATAAAATCCTCTCTGATTGCCAATATGGTTTTAGGTCGAACCGATCGACATCTCTGGCCATTAC